ATTTTATAAATGACCACATAGATTTTTAGATACTAATTAAAGAAAATTTGTGCATTACGGTATACAATCATATATGTAATAATTTTCTTTAATATTTAAAAATCTATGTGGTCATTTGCAAGATGGTAGAGGACTTTTTTGTTCAGTTTGACTTAATGTATAAGTATACAACGACAGACGACGCCACTGCAGCTCATCTATTATATCGCGCGTGATCATTCACCAATCTTTTTAATTAATATCTCGACTATTATTGCGAATATCGCAAAATAGCACAGGATTTTCTTGTTCACTTCAATCCGTTCTACGTTCTCACAAAGGTTAATCATGGAGATCTGAGACACCCTGTACGTACGGACGCCATTTTCTAACTATAACATTGTCCAGACTCCTATTTCTAAGGATTCTAGCATCTCTGAGCGTTATCTAGGGCGAGGAGAGTGTTGTGAGCGTGGAGCGTCAGGTAGCTCAGTGGTTTAGAGCAGTCGCCCAGCAAGCAAAAGACCCGGATTCGAGTCCCGGCCTTAACAAATCGCGCTCTCGATATTTTTCTTTCTCTGGAACGAAAAGATACGTAAATCTTGAACGCACATTATCTCCTCCTTCTATGCCAATATACAGCCGTGTCATTTGATGAAACAACACTATTGTTTTAAATAGTATTTTTTTAAAAGTTTCTTTCAAAATTTAGTAATTCGATTTGTTTAATTTGGATTTTCTTGGATTTTTTAATTTTTTCTTGTTTGGATTAATTATTATAATATTCTGTTAAAAATTTAAAAGTAAATATCACTGGTTCACTACATTACATCAATATTTATCGCATATCGAATGTTGTTGCATTGTTTCAATATCTATCAGCAAATTATCCAACAAACATCAACAAGTAAAAGTTATACAACTATTATTTGGTGTTTGCTAGATATGTTATAATATACTGTGAACACTGTAAGGATACATTATACAGGGTGTCTCGGCGATTGGAAGACAATGCATCACTGTCTATACTTATATCGCTCCTACGTCTTGCCGCATCGCGCCGAGGCGAGATGTAGGAGCACAGCGGTATAAGTATAGGCAGTGATGCGTTGTCTTCCAATTGCCACGCGTCGACATCCACGCGCTATATTACTGGGCTGCGCTGTGACTCAAGCGGTCCGTCCTCTACTATTCAGCATACACTTTTCCTTAACCTTTCGTAATTAATTTCTCGGTTATTATTACGAATATCGCAAAACGGTATAGCACTTTTATATTTATTTTAACCCGCTCTACGTTCTCACGAGAGCTTCGTAGATTGTTCTGAGACATCCTGTATAAACAAAAATCGTAAGAATATCGTTGGAGTCATCGGGAATCGCCGCGTGTCGCTCGATCGTCAAGTTAAGCAACACTTTAACGAAGTCAGGACATAGATGGGTGCCGGTAGTATACCGCTTGGGATCGAAATTATCGATTCACGAAAGTTTGTGTGTGTGTTGACAACTTCGATACCTAGTGGTTTATGAGACATGAGAAAATTAGGAATTATAAATATATTTTTTTAAATATTATGATTTTCTTATTTTTCACCTTTGCACAATAATTCTCAGTATTTGATTACTACCAATATTTAATAGTGATTTTATTATCAATATTCACCAGAAATTAAGTACTGACTAAAAAATTACTGAATTACTAGTATCTTAATCACTAATAATTTTTCAGTATTTCTTAATATAATATTTCTATAAGGGCATAAAATAATAATAATATTGCATATATATTATAACGCAATGTTGCTGCAATATTACGTAGCAATATTTCTCAGATGGACATTTTACCGTTACTGCAACACTGCTACAATCTTGTAGCAACATTTCACAATATTTTTGCAATCTTGCAGAAAACATTATTACAATGTTGCTGCAATATTTAGTTGCTGTATGGGAGTAGTCCGTTAAAAGAGGAAAAAGAGAAAGTAATGTAAGGAATATTTGTTAATAAATCTAATTTTCCACCACGGTATCACGCCACCACGCCACCACGTGGTGGTGGCTAATTAATTTAATAAATTAAATTTATAACATATTATCGACATAATTAATATTTAATTTTCAGGAAAATATCATTTAGTGAACAAAAATGGCCGCATCGAAAAAAGCGTTGAAGCTCACAAAGGTGCGACAACAATAGGCAAATGGAGCAGTGATGGTTCTGCGTTGTTGACAGGTTCGATATATCACCTTGTTGTTCGAACAAGAAACTCGACAATGTTTCTATTCTATTCGAAGACGTTTTAAGTGTGTTTTAAATCACAAAAAATACATTCGCATAATTTTATTCGTTTCTTACAAACGAATTTTTGACACTTTTTATTATTTTTATTTTATTCGTGTTATTTGACACAAAATTTGCCTAACTTTGATTAAGTTCCAAAGATATGATATTGATTGCAGCCGGTGAAGATGGATTGATAAAAATCTGGTCTCGCAGCGGCATGCTGCGATCGACATTAGTACGAACGAATTTTCCTATATTAACGTGCTGCTGGAGTCCTGATTGCACAACGATTATGTACTCCCAAGGAGCGAATCTGCTTCTCCAGCCGCTTAATTCCAATTCGAAACCACGGAAGGTTGAATAATTTTTTATACTTTATATTATGTCTCATGATACAGGATGTTTCTATATAATTCATTCTATGAAATATTCTATAAACTTTTATAAACATTCTGTAACATTCTATGAAATTCAAATCGTCCTTTTTTAATAGCTGCTACTTGAAAAGAGATTCTTTGTCAAATTTGGGTCAATAAATAGGCAAAATATTTTAATTTTTGGCCTGTAGCTGCTCTTTATAAAAAGTAGTATAGAGAAAAAGTAGTGTAGAGGAGCTTAAGTAATATTTTATTACCTCGAATTTGTACACTAATGAATGGAATCAAATTTATTTTGAAAATTTTCATTATTTTATTAATTATCTATCAAACATATTCTTACAAGGAACATTCGCGAAGTGTGTATCTCCGATTTCGATGAAACTTGGCATATTTATAGAGTAGCCAAAAATAAGAGACCCATATTTTTTTATTGGCAATGGCGCAGGTTTAAGGGGGGAAGCTCGTGTAAATCGAAATTTGTGAGCAATTATTTTTTTTTGCTTAAATTTATAAGAAATCCTCCGTAGAATATGAAAAAAAAATAGTAGAAACCGATTTGAGACTTCCTTCTATGTTATTTCCGTCGAAAAGTAAAACGGTCGCCCTGAGCGGAGAGCGTAGATAAACGGCATGCGGCGGACACTCAGCTGTCAGTCACCTTTGAATTTAGGCCTGGTTGCACATATTTACATCTGGAAGGAGGGGAAAGAGAGAAGAAAGTGAAAGTGTGTTTGTTTATGTTAGTTTAACAGTCGTATTTTGAAACAGACGCCTCAGCGTCTTTCGAGCAGAGCAGTCGTTTCGTTAAGTGTTTGTAACCGTGAAATCGTAAGAAAAAGTACAAAAATGAGTAGGAAAGTTCCACGTGATAATCCTAACTTTCGCCCAAATAAACTGCGGAAACGCAAATATCAGGGAAATCAATTCAACGCGTTGGATACAGAATCGAGCGAGGCGTAGAGAGAGATGCCGGAGCACGGCGTAGAAGCAGGAATAAGGGAAGAAGCAAGAGCATCTGCCAGAAAAATCAAGGCTACTGCTGCCGACGTCATTATTAATTTCGCGCACTACAGAATTATTGAATTTTTGAGTATGTTTTCTGCGATATCTGATATTTCAGTATGCCGAAAATGTAAACAAAAACAAATATTCGGTGAAGTGGATAATCGCGGCTTAGGTTTTAAAATATCTGTGAAGTGCTTGTGCAGTACTGTCTTGATACAATCCGAACCATTCGTCAAGAACGGTTACGAAATAAATCGTCGGATTGTGTTCGTCATGCGTCTGCTCGATGTTGCACGTGAGGGCATAAATTTGTTCTGTGGCATGATGGAGTTGGGCTTTGGATTGAGCCAGAATGCATACGAAGGTGTTGTGAAGCATATGCACAACTCTATTGAAAAAATGTTTAAATACACTTGTAAGAAGGCCGTTGATGAAGAAAAGAGTCATAACGAGAAAAATGAGCAGCCTTTACTGAATCTTAAAGTTTCAGGCGACGGAAGTTGGAAAAAAGCGAGGGTACTCATCGCTCTATGGTGTCATGACACTTATAGGATATTATGTCGGGAAAGTCGTTGATTTAACAGTAAAAGGAAGTTATTGTCAAACTTGCACATATTATAAAAATGATCAAAATAATATAATTTATCTGCTGTATAAAGACGAAGGAAACTGCGTGGTGAACCGGGTCATCGGGAAAGATGGAGGTAGACTCCGTAAAGGAAATGTTTCTTCGTTCCGAGAAGTTGTACGGAGTGCGTTATAGTACTTACGTGGGTGATGGCGACGCGAAAATATTCAAGGCTTTATTAGATGTTGAGACGTATGGCGAAGATTTTAAAATTCAAAAGAGCGAGTGCGTCGGCCATGTGGAGAAACATATGGGCACTCGGTTGCGCAACGTGAAGAAGACAGCGAAGATCAGAGGCAAAGGCAAGTTGACAGACGTTTTGATAAAAAAATTGACGAAGTATCACGGACTTGCAATCTGTCGAAATTGCGGATCTGTCGAAGATATGAAAAAAGCAATAATGGCAACATTCTATCACCTGTCATCGACTAATAAGAATCCTCGACATCATAACTGCCCTCCGAGCACCGACTCTTGGTGCAAGTGGCAAGCCGCTCAAGCTCTGGGAGAGAATTTCGAGCATCCTCCGCCTCTTGATTCAGAAGTGCAGAAGCATATTTTGCCAATATATGAAGATTTATCTCGAGGCGATTTCCTCGAGCGATGCTTAGATGGCCACTCTCAAAATGAAAATGAGAGCTTCAACGCTACTATATGGCGTTTGGTCCCTAAGCACTTACATTGTGGCGTAAAAATACTCGAAACGTCCGCCTATTTAGCGGCTGGTATATTCAATGACGACTACAAATTCGTCCTACAAAGTATGCAAGACATGGGAATAATCATCGGTCAGCAAAGCAATATGTTCGCGAACACATACGACCACCGTCGAATCAACCACCAAGAACGTCGCAGTTTCGAAAGCACGAAAGAGACTAGGAATGCTCGAAAAATGGAAAAGACTGCCTTATTGGATGATTTCCAGGAAAAGGAAGATTTATTATATGGCCCTGGAATCGCAAACTAGCTCAAAACAGCTGTGAGTTTCAATAAAATATTATTCTTTTACGATTTTTCGGTTACCGAAAGTTTAAACAAGTTTTTCTCAAAACGCTAAATTTCGCGCACCGGGATAAATTGCTCGAAAACTACTCAACCGATTTCGATCAAACTTTGCGAGAATATTCTTATAATTCGCCTTTGCACAAATCTCTTCAATATTTAATTTTCAATGTTAAAAAAAGTTTATGCACGATTGTTTGTAAAAAATAAGTCTAGTTTTTTTTCAAAACGTCACCATTTTTGCAATGTTGCGAATTTTTATGTTTTGTAAGATTTATGCACAGCGTTTTTTGAATAACCGTAATTTGAATAACCTTTTTTAAATTTTTTGTTTCAGATAATTGTTGCGATCTACAGATATTTTACAATAAAAATGTTTTAGAAAAATTTGATATATCTTATGTTGTCAATAAAAAGTATTTCAAGTTTCAAATCATTTTATCATTTAGTTTTTTCACAATAAATTCATGAAAAAAGGGTCATTTACACGAGTTTCTTTTATATCCTTTTTACTATCTCTGTAACTATTGGAGATAGAAAAAAACTTTTTAGATAAAAGTTATGTGGTTTTTTATAAAAAATAAAATGGGCTAGGTTAAGAAAAAAAATATCTTTAACAATTAACGAAATAACTATAGATAAGTTTAATTTTTAATTTTTCCAATTTTGTTATATGGATAAAAAATTAGCATTTTTTATTCTGAATCTATTCATATATAATATTTTATATTTAAATTACATGGACATTATATAAACGGAAAAATATATGAGTAGTACCGAGCAGTGCGCTCGGTATCGTGTGCAATCACTAATTTTTTTTTTTATTAATGAGATGGAAATCCTAGGAAAGATCAATGGATGTGCTGCACTCTAACTGGCAAAAACCACTCCGGATGTCCTCAGTGGCTCAAGTAAGGATGCTCCGCGAATTGTTTATTTCATTACTTTTGAAACACCCTTGAAGCAATCACTTAACTATCACATCGTTACGCAAATGTCATCCATTTACATCTCTTCAGTGCATTTTATATATTACAATATTAATATTATAAAAGTATAATATTAAATATTGCAGGTATAAAAATAATTTTAAATTATTAACACATAAGCAGCCACTGCTGAATATTTTTTTATTTGTAACATATGTTTCGTATCTGCTTATATTGCTTATAAGCATATTTAATATAACAGACAAGAAAAATATATATGAATATGTGTACGTCAACATATTTTAGTGAGAAATGTAATTAATATTGGGAGTGTGCATTCAATTTACATTAATTTGCATTAAATTTACATTAATTTGCATTAATTTTAAAAGATTTTCAAGAGATGGCGTAATTAGTACTATATCATATTGGGCCATATTGTTGTTACCTTCATATCAAAGCCACCATCATGTGGCTTTAGTTTTCAGTATGTCATTTTGCCGAAGTGTAAACAATATTGTTCTTTTGAGCATTGAATATGTCGTATTTTATGCAAACAAAATGCAATTTGCGGGAAGCTTTGCTTTTTTGCTTCCATTTGAAGAAAAGTGCTGCTGAAAGTCAACAAATGCTGTCGGAAGTTCATGGTGATTATACTCTATCGATTTCAACATGTGAGTATTGGTTTCGACGCTATAAAAAAGGTGATTTGACACGGAAGACAAGGAACGTCCAGACCAGCCGAAAAAGTTTGAAGATAAGGAAGTGGAAGCTTTACTCGATCAAGACCCGAGTCGAACGCAAGAAGAACTTGCAGAATCATTAAATGTTGATCGATCAACGATTTCCAGACGTTTGAAGGCCATTGGAATGATTCAAAAGCAAATTGGGTGCCGTACGAGTTAAAGTTAAGGGACATCGAAAGGCGCAAAATGACCTATGAATTGTTGTTTCAAAGACACAAAAGAAAAACGTGCAAGAAAAAAGTTTTTTGCATCATATCATGACGGGTGGTGAAAAATGGATACGTTACGATAATCCGAAGCGCAAAAAATCATGGTGTAAGCCAGGCGAACCATCAACATCGACGGCAAAGCCGAATATTCATGGCGCATGCTCTGTATTTGGTGGGGTCAACCGGTATTATGAGCTGCTCCAACCCAACGAAACCATCACTGGGGAATGCTACCAACAACAATTGATGCAATTGAGCCGAGCATTGAAGCAAAAACGGCCAGATTTCGCGAAAAGACACGACAAAGTGATTTTCCAGCACGACAACGCTCGGCCACATGTTGCGAAACCGGTCAAGGAAACGTTAGAAGCGCTTAACTGGGATGTCCTACCACATCCGCCGTATTCTCCAGATATTGCTCCTTCCGATTACCACCTATTTCGATCGATGACTCATGGCCTGTCTGAGCAGCGCTTCCATTCTTATGAGGATACCAAAAAATGGGTCGATTCGTGGATAGTCTCAAAAGATGTGTCGTTCTTTCGACGTGAAATCCACCTATTACCAAAAAGATGAGAAAAAGTAGTGGCTAGCGATGGACAATATTTTGAATGATCAATTTGTAATCATTTTTTCACAATTAAGCCGTATTTTTAACAACAAATCCCTTAAAATTAACGCACACTCCCAATATGTGAAAGTGCTAAAATTACTAATATTATCCTTAATGGAAAAAGAATAATAAAACTATTTCTTATAATCTTGACAGTAGTGATATTAGCTTATGATATTAGATTATGATAGCCCATACAGCATAAAACATCTCAACAATGTTCCACAATATTACAAATATCATTTTTAAAATATTACATTTGAGATATTCTTGGGATATTGTACAGATATTTGAAATAGAATATTTTGTATGAAATATTTTAAGAATATTCCATTTGAAACATTACATTTGCGATGTTTCTGAAATATTCTGGAGATTTGTCATTGGAAATATCTCAGAATATCTGAAATAGAATATTCTCTAAAAATATTCTATTTGAAACATTATCATTTGCAAAGTTTTTGAAATATTCTTGGAAATCTGTCGCGGGAAATATATCAGATATCTCAAATTGAATATTCTAGAAATATTTTACTTGAAACATTACCTATTGTACAAATTTCCATTGTATGCACATTCAAAGATTTCTTGACTTGAAGAAGTCAATTAGTTGTTAACACTCAAATTTAGGTGTTTATCCCCAATTTTTGGGTGTTTACACCCATAATTGAGTGTTTTTTGTAAGGGTATACTAATAATAATAATAATAATGAATACAAATAATTAAAATGAATAATAATTATTTATTGTTATAATTTTCTATAAAGTGTATCTTATAGGATTTTTGAATGGATATTTGTACGTTTTTTATTAGCGTATACTCAAAATATTTCAAATACATGATACATAAAAAATATTTTAAACCGTTTCTATAACGTCTTCATATAAAATTTTTCAAATATTTTTACAATATTTCTCAGCAATCAAGATCTCAGCACTAGTTTTCAGAATTCTGTCATACCGTTACCAGATCGCTGAAAAACGGAGCGCGGTAACGGATTATAGTGAAATTTCGCTAGAATTCTTGTGGAAAAGATTTCACAAATTGGCATCTTATGAAAGACTTATCGTCGAAAAACTCATTCATTAGAACGCTAAAAATTTATTCTGACCGTATTGAATGTTTTTAGTTGTCATTTCCATGAAAGTGCGGCTAATTATTTAACATTAAATTGCAATAAACGAGCATGAAATATTATTTTTGAAAAAAGTTTGATATCACAAAATTCTTTTAACGATCTATCAATGGCACGCGAAGAGGTACAAGTGTCGACAGAATATCTCTGATTTTTCTTTTATTATATTAAATATTTGGACTAATTAATAGTTAATTTTTGTAATTGTACTAAATAATATTATAAAAAAATTAAAATTACTGCTTTGGTTACATATGAGGACAATAAGAAACACTTAGTATCAGTTGAAGAAGTAGCGCAGCGGCTAAGATAATATACTAGAAACCTGAAGGTATCTGCAGTTCTCGAGTTCGCGTCCGATTAATACTGACAAGGAGATGCCACAACCTGCTAAATCGATTTCTGAA